GATTAGAAACTTGCACCTGATATTCAGTTCTCCCTAATAATCTATAATAATATAGCTTAATTTCATCAATCATTTATTTTGCATTCCATGCAGTCTTTGCCCTAAGCTCAGGAAATGGCCTTTCATTATTCATACGCATTCTCCTTGGATAAATGCTTTTTACTTTGTAACATTTTAGTTGGAGATAGTTTTCAGATTCTTATATCTGAGGAGCTCCTGAGGATAGGCTATTTATTCAATTCATTTGAGCAGAAATACTACAATACATTTATGCCTTATGTTTTGTTTTAGGGTGATAGTGGTGGTCCATTGGTAACCATGAAAAATTTGTTATGGTGGCTAGTGGGTGACACAAGTTGGGGAACAGGCTGTGCTACTCAATATAAACCTGGAGTTTATGGTAACATTACTATGTTCACAGAATGGATTTACCGAAACATGCAGGTAACTTTCTAATACATGGTAGAGCATATAATATGCTTTTCATGGTTCTTAAGTATGACATAATAACCGGAAGATCTGCATCCACATATCTTAAACTTGGTGGTGCAAAACGCTAGTCTAGACCATGATATTTTAAATTCCATGCAATTTGCACAACTGCTTGCCTTGTCCTATTAGCTCTCTCTCCCAGTTTTCTATTCCTTTCCTTTGCTGGTCTTTCTCATTAGAGAAAAAGATCAAGAGAATTATATGCCAACTTTCCCTAACCGAAAATTAGAACTTCCTTAGAACATACCTAGGTCTGGCTATCCTTCTCCAGGCTTTATATCCTCCCATTGTGTTCTTGCATAGTGACCTGTCTCATGCTTTGCCTGCATCTGTAACTTATTTTCTAATTTATTGTGGGAAATATAATAAGTGCTTACATAATAAATACATAAAAATGTTGACATTTTCCTTCCACTCTAGAATTAAATTTATCCGCTTCTGTGACATGTGGCTCTCTTGGCATGTGATTCTTTGACTAAGTTACCAAATAAAACTTGCAATGGAAATTTGCATGATCATAAAGTGGACACAGAATTTTCCTTTCTGTGTGGAGCAGGAACTCTCCACTGCATGTCTCATAGACCCTTTGTTTTGCTGGATGTTCATTGACTTTATTATAATTCTGATTGTCCCCTTGAATATGTCACCAATCCTGAAAATGACTATTTTTGGAATAGAATCTCTTAAATATGCTTCCCTATTTGTTTTTCTTAACAGGCAAACAGATGATACTACTTCCTTTGACTCACTTTAATCAAGGGTGAAACAAATCCTTTGTAAATCATGGTTGTGCTTTCAAAACGACTTCTGGGTCCTTAACACTTCATATGCAGACTGTAATGGGAATGTTTGCAAACTGATCCTCATTTCATATCAAACAGTTGAAGAACCTGATTTCTTGAACCTGGTGTAACAATCAAAGGCAAACACATTCTTTTTACCAACTAGTTATTGGTTTCCTTTATTTCTCTACTGGTTGACATTCATTTTAAAGTTAAAAATAATGTTTGTAAATTATAAATTTTGTTTTTGCTTTTGAAATCAAATGCAGCATCCCAATGTTTTATAAATGATGTTTAATATTTAGGATATTAATGTTGAGTATATCTGGGCTGCTGGATGGCCCAGTTTTTTTAAAGTGAGAAAGAACCACATGAATATTTTGATACAAGGTGTGAAAGATTTTTCTTATGAATATTACTATGCAACTTTTGTATTCAAGTATTCATTATTTTTATTCTCCCATAGGTGTTAATGATTCTGAAAATATATAATTTGAATATATGTATCTTCCAAAATGTGTGGATAGATTCAAGATCAGTTTATTCCAGAAAACAGAAATACTAATTTCTAGGCACATATCTTTAATGCAGAAAGAACAAAATAAGTATTCTAAAATGTCAATAATTCTGCTTCTGCTGTGGTACCTGGATGTGCTAGATAAGCCCTCAGCTGCTAAACCTGAAAACAATAGCAGAGAATAGAAAGTTATTTTGTGAAGGTGCATTATGTACTGAATTGAATGTCAGTTCTACCTCATTTTGTAAAACTAACAAAATTGGAATGGGTTAGGAAAATGTATCGGTCTGTTTTGTTTTGTTTTCCTTAAAAATCCTATTTGCAGAAGCAACATTTTTAAATTTAAAAAATTGATTAATATAATCACAGATCATTGGCATGTTAGCAGGATATCAAGTTAAGAAAGGCTGCTCTTGCAGCAGTAAAATTTTAATTCTATGAGTCCTATGATTTGGACATAACTAATTATGCTGCTATTGAAATGCACTTTTTAAAATATACCTGTTGGTGAGAAAATTCACTTCAAGTTTGGGGGGTGCAATACTTTTATACAATGAAGTGCCATTGAAATAGTTATTGAAAACATTAAATGTATTTCAGTGAAGTGAAATCAATGTAAATCATGCATAATTATTACTAATCACCACAAATTCAGTTAGTAAATATTTGGGTTTTTAAGTTTCAAGAATGAAACACACCATTCTTTGTCTCATCTACAAAGAATTTGGAAAATAAATGTTTTACAAATACAATATTGACTTTGTAGTCCTTCCTTCCTTCCTTCCTTCCTTCCTTCCTTCCTTCCTTCCTTCC